CCTGGAAAGTGAGCCCAGGGCTCAGAGAGTACTGTTACTCTTTATCTTGGACCCTTCTGTACTATTTGAATTTTTTAAAACTATGAGCACATGATTTTTAGAAGTAATTTCATCAGTTATGTATAATATTGGGGAATTTAAAAAATCCTACCATGTAGGATTGGATTAAATGTGTGTAATACACCAAGCTTGAAGCTGATAGATGAAAGGTATATGATGGCTACTACTTACATTGGAGTCAGGATCCCCTCTGGGCAAAGGGCATGGGAGTGCTGCAGACTGGAGGAGGGTTGTTAGGGCTCAAAGGCAGAAAATATGAGGCTGCACTAGAATTTGCTTTGGTGACTCATTTGGAGGCTGGTATCTCCATTTTGGTCCCTTCCCAAGAAACCCAAGGAATGGGGCTGCTCCAAGACCATTCCAGCTTCCCATCTGCACCCCCATATGGGTTTGTCTTCCTCAACTGCTAATACCAGGCAGTATGCCCCATTCCCAAACCCCCTCATTGGAAAGTTCCTGTCCTGACTCCTATGCCCTTGGGGCCCTGCTGATACGGTCATTAGCCATAACAGGTTCCTGTATGCTCTATCTTGGCCATATAGCTGAAACCATAAATGTCAAAAAAATGTTCAAGGATGACAATTCTGTAGCAAAACCCCTGGCCCTTCTTTTCCAGTGCCCTGGTAGACACTGCTACCTGAGCACAAACATCCTACTGCTAAGCCCAGTAAAGGCCTCAGAACCTTTCTGAAAAAAATTCTACTCTCCATAATTTAGAGTCGGCACTGACTGTGAAACCCACTTGCCATCCCCGTGACCCAAAGAATGATTCTCTTGGTCTAAGTTTCAGGTTTGGGACAAAGGTGTAGAAGGGAGATCTGGTGGGGGGGGCGCAGTTCTTGCAGCACCTCTGAACTCATGCCACAGAGCTAGGGGCTCCTGATACATCACAACTGTATAGCTCGAGAACCTCTGATCCTCTCCTATTTGAAAGACAGTGAAGGTCACCTTGTGAACACCAAGCGGGGTGGCCTCAAGCGGCCAGTGCTGGGCCCATCTCCTGATATCACAGTTCACCCCTGAGACGTGAAATGTACAGTGGCATCTTCACCCCTTCCGTGCATATTCTGGGGGAGAGGAGCCGAGAGGCTTATGGACCAACTGATGGCCATGAGCAGGTCTGGGGGACTGGGCCCTGTTGTGTCAATGCTTTCCTCCTTCCTGTGAATTAGTAAGATTCCTTGTCCTTGCTGATGTCATCTGGGAGGGAAGCATAGAAAATTGGCCATAAGGGGGGAAAAAAAAAGAAGAAGAAGAAAGAAGAACTAGGGAAATCAAATTACCTGCTTTTGTCATAGTGCAGCACGTTCGCAGCGGGTTTGACTATAGCCACTTCCTCGGTCAAGCTATGTCCACTGAACACTGTAGCTGGAACCATTAACACTCCACCATTAGTAGCTGGTGAATTTGGTTTTCTGGATCTCGTTGCTTTAGGCTGGACATGCATCTTTCATAAAGGCTAGCCATGGGAAATGAAGCTCTGTTATCCAGACGCTTACCTGCCACTAATGACAACAGCAATAAATTAAAAGAGAAGCAATTATTCAGAGTTGACTATGTGGCAGGCACAGTGCCAAGGGCTTTATAAACGTTTCCTCACTTTGTCCTTACAACAACCCTAAGAGCTAGGAACTACTGTCATTTTTATAGATTGAGGAAATGGAGGTTTGTAGAAGTTAAGACATTTATCCAAGGTGACCCCTAGGGGGAGACACAGAGCACAGATGTGAATCTACACAGAACAGACTCCAGATCCCTCAGCCACTAGGCCACCTGACAAATGACTTTCCTGTAAAGCTGTGAACATGATGGGCAGCTGTCTGGGGGTTGATGCTGGGAAATATTCCACTCCATTGAAAGCAGGCATTGCCAATGAGATTCCTTTCCCTTCCCCCTCCATCCCTCCCTTGCCTTCCCTATCACTGCCTTTCTCCAGCTTCGACCCTCTCTCTTGTCCATCCCTTTGCCCCAAACCTGCGCTGGCCCACATGAACGGGAATCCTCATTCTGCTCAGCTGCCTGGGTCTTCTGGGCCTCCCTGACAGTTCTCCCTCTGGGTGCTCCTGGGGGACCTTGAGGAGTGAGGATCCTGCTTCCTCCTGCTCTGGCAGCAGCCTGCCAAGGTCCACCATGTTTCCCAGGGGCCCATGGGGCTTGAGGCTTTCACCCTGGGGGCTGTGGTGGCCCTGGGGACAAGGGGGCAGGGGGGTGGCTGGGGTACCCTCCCAGCCACGGGTGAGCAGGTCTGGCTGGAGCTGTGGTCACGCTCTGATTCCTGAGTCTAGGAAGTGCTTGTGGTAGACACAGCAGGTGACTTCCTCCTTGGGGGTGGGTCAGTGGATGAGGCACAGAGGAACACCAGGGTTCAGTTTCACTTTCCTTGTCTCCACGCTGTCTCTTGCGGCTCTAAGCCCAAAGTGTTGGCCAGTGGCCTCCCAGACCAGCCCCTACAAGTCATCTGAGCTTCTGGGCTTTTGGTGTCTTTCACTTTCCCAGTCAGAGCCTGCTTCCCTGGGTCTGCAGCCTTCCCATTCTGCAGACCTGCGGGGTCCTCTATCACCTGGGCAGGGGACTGCTTCCAGTGGGGAAACAAGCAGAGGTTTATCCCTCATTACTATTCCACTGGTCCAAAGGGCTCCCCATTTGTCTGATGAGGATCTTTGAAAATTGTTTTGTCATAACTGTGGTGCTGGCCTCAGAACGAGAGAGCATTAGTGCTTCCCACAATGATCCTACTGACCCCACAGATCTCAGCAGCTCCCAGGGCTGGGGGAGGGGCCAGAAGTCTGGTTTCCTGAGGCAAGGACTCTAAGATGTTGGCAGGGTGACATGGTTTGAGTCACATCTCAAGAGAATTTGGGAGGAGGAGTGCTTTCTTAAACTTTTCTTTGTGGGAAATGAGACTTTGCCTTCAGTAGCTAGTGGGGGACAGGAAATGGTGGGGAGGGTGTACTTGTCCAGGGGTAGCCTCACCGATGGGTACCATCTGGGCCTTACAAAGAAGAGCACTGGAGAAAAGGGATGCACTGGATGTCCTGGGTTCTGGTGGTGACATGAAAAATGTAATCAAATCATCCTGATGGTCTCCACACTTAGATGGTCTTCTGACTCTACACTGACTTCTGTCCCTAGAAGGGGGAAGCTGTGTGCATGGTTGTGGTGGGGAGCTGGAGGGGTCTTGTTCCATTCCCTCTGTCTCTTGCAAACATTCTTTACAAATGTCCTCTGGACACATAGCCCCTGCCTCAAGCTCCAGATAGAGGTACTTTTTTCCTTTTTTTTTTTTTTAAGATTTTATTTATTTATTGGTCAGAGAGAGAGAGAGAGAGAGAGAGAGCACAAACAGGAGGGGTGGAAGAGGGAGAAGCAGGCTCCTGGCTGAACAGGGAGCCCAATGCAGGGCTCTATCCCAAGACCCTGGGATCATGACCTGAGCCGAGGGCAGAGGTTTAACTGACTGAGCCACCCAGGCGTCCCTGGGTAGAGGCACTTGCCTGAGGCCAAAGTTCGTGGGAAGTGGTGGAGTGGGGATTCAAGCTGAGGTCAGCCTGCGGCCAAAGCCCAGGTGTTTACTGTGCACACTAGTGACCTTCTGCACACGGGAGGGACTCTGAAGGAATACAGCTGGACTTGTCCTCGGGGTGAACACTCTCTTAGGAGACAGGAGTCACTGAGACCTTTCACTGGCAGCAGCAAGAGGACCAATGGAGTGGGTGTCCTTTGCTCCTTGAGCTTATGTGGGTCTGGAGAGAAATGTTAGTGAGAAGCTGCCGTACTTGTGGACATTCAAGGGAAGAGTACTTGCCCTGGTTTTCACTGTTTTCTATCCTGAAACAGCTGGAGTGGAAATATTTAGCCACAAGTCACTCAGAAGTGACTTTTCGAACTTGCCTTGCGACACATTCTCCTAATAATGCACTTTAAGTCCCTTGAGCATCTGCCACCCCCTCCCAAGGATTCAGAGACCCAAGTTACCTCCTACTCCCAGTTGATGGGAATATTGAAGAAGTCAAAGGGAGGTGGACTCAGGCAGGAGGGGCCAGCCACTGTCATTACAGATGAGAGGAGACCCAGACAGTTGCTGACAGCCAAGAAACACCTGTTTTAGGGCAGAAGCAAGGGATAATCTTGGTAACATTGATGGAAAGATGACATTTTGTCAGGTACCGAGAGAACCCAGTGGAGCAAATTTGCATTCATGTTCTACATGGGTTCCTCTGGTGATTCACGGGCCAGTCACTGAAAAATGTGTGAGGTTTGCAGAAGTATTTCCTACAGCAAATTCAGTTCCACATTGAAAAGGGTCTGAGTACAAGCATTTTTCCCCCCAAATTTCATTTATTTATTTGAGCGAGAAAGAGAGAGAGAGGAAGAGAGCACAAGAATGGGGAGGAGGGGCAGAGGGAGAGAGAGAAGCAGGCTCCCCACTGAGCAGAACCCTGGGATCATGACCTGGGCAGACACTTAAGCGACTGAGCCACCCAGGTGCCCCTGTGAGTAGGAACATTTTAACGAACGACTGCAGCACTAGACGCTACTAAGCAAAAAGCTTCCCTCTTTTGGTTTTTAAAAATTTATTTTTAAAATGAGGATAGGCAGACAAGTTATCCATAAGGGCATACAATCTTTCAAAAATGGTTTGCAGAGTACAAAGTTTGAAGGTCTCTATCAGGAAGAACAGGTTCTGTGTCTCAGGTCTCCTTACTTGGGGACACAGCAAGCCCCTCAGCCTTGCGTCTAGTGAGAGACTAAGTCTGCCCTCTTCCCAGCAGCGAAGATGGAGGGGAATGCTGGGCTGGTGGGCTGGTGGGCTGGTGGGCGGGGTGGAGGGGTGGGGGGGAGGGGCAAGGGCACCATCCTTGGGCCATAAATATCTTCATCATCCCTTTTAACAAAGGCATATTTCCATACAGATGGGAAAAAAAGACCTGGGGAAAATACCAAATGTGCATATCAGTTAACTCTGAGTGATTCTTATTTATTTTTTATTTAAATGTATTTTTCAAAATGTCCACAAAGAATTCACATTCCTTTTATAAGAGAAAAAACACATTGTAAATACCTCTCTCAGGCAGAAAAATAACCATTTATGTAATGTTCTGATTTATAAAGTCTTTTTCATACACATTCCGATTTCATTCTCTCAATAGCGCTGATGACAATTTCCATTTAAGCTTCAGAACACAAGCCTCAGGAGGTTGAGGAACTTTCTCAAGGACAAACGACTCCAAGCCCAAGCCGCCGATCCAGAGAGGGAGCTGGTCTTTTCCCTTCGGTTGCCTCATGTGGTAGGTAGAATATGAGGTTCTTGGGATGAGGGACTGAGGCTGCAAAAGGAAATCAGGGGCAGGTTCAGGGAGAAAGCAAGGGAACGGCTCATCTCATGGGAGGTGAGGGTTTGGGGGCTGGTGCTTCAATAGCTGGGGACATGAGACTTTGGGGTTTATTTAGTGAGCTCTGGGTGATTTCTGAGCTGAGTAGAGAGCATGCCTTGGGGAGGTTGGTCCTCTGGGGCTCCTGACAGCTGGGCTAGGTTCTGCCTGGCTCACCTCTCCAGCTGGAGACAATTAAAATCTGCTCCCACAGGCTGTGCATGAGCCCAACATTCCTCCTCCTTTTCTGGGCCCAAGGCGGGCTTTCTTCCTTGGGGTTTAAATAAAGGGAGTGGCTCGTGGTCCTGAGGCCAGCCTCCTCACACCAGAAGATTCAGGGCTCCTCCAGGAGCCAGGAGTTGCCCTCTGCTGGGGTAAGAGCTTCTGGGCTGAGGCAGGCCTGTGAACCCAGTCTACGGGGAGAGCATTTGGAGGTGAAGACAGGAAGGTCAAGTCAGAAAGACATTCTCTTTCAGGGATGCTCATGATGTTTAGGACAGTCCCTCTTTCTTCGCTTGGTTAGAAATGAAAAAGACTAGCAAGAGGGAGGGAGGGAATGGAAGGTGAAGTGGATCCCTGTGTAGGGCTCCCCGTGGAGGCTGAGGGGACCTCAGCTGGCTCCCCGCATTCTCTGTTAGGGGTTAGCCTTGCTGGGACGAGGCTGATCTGTGCCTGCTCCATGACATGCACCAGCTGGAAGGAGTCTGGAGTCTAGCTGATTGGGAAGGAAGATGAGAGGGTGTATTTTTTCTAGAGATTAAGAAAAAGTGGTGCGTTAGAGCCAGCTCCCACCAGCCTGTGAGAGACCAGTTGTGAAATTTTCAAGAATCTCGTGAATCATCATGTTGGTAGCTTGAAATTGGTCAAAGTGGGAGTATTTACACCATGGAAATTGGCAAACATGACAAACCAGGGCTTCCCTGTGCCGGAGAGCTGGTTGTTAGTTGAGCAGGTGTACCCTTCACCTCATGGCTTGGGGTTTCCTGTGCTCTTCTGAGGGAGAGGATGACAACAACGCCTGGCTTTGGTCTCCTGTCTGTGATGTCATGATGGGAAATGGGGTCCCTCTCGCCTGTGGCTTTCTCTGCTTTCCTTTTCCTATATCTGAGTCACAGAGGGCAGGCTTGGCTGGAAAGGGACCTCCTATGTCCTCCATTCCTATGCTCTAGAGCACGTGACAGCTAGTCCAACGCCCAGGACAAAGTAAGCTGCTCCAGAAATATTTATTCAAGGGGGACGAAGGGGTCAATGTCACCTGCTATAAGAATTGCGTCACTTTCATGATTCTTATCAGCAGGGGGCGCTGCAGGACTAATGATGTGTCTTGAGTCACACTTCTCTGACACTCTCTTTAAAAGAAAAAAAAACATTAATTTGAATGAATTAGAAAGGGGCTAACTGAATCAGTGATTTTTTTTTTAGATAAAGCATCAGTTTTGGGGGAAAAGAAATGTAGTGCTCAAGTGATCATAGTGGACATTGCTGTACCACTTTACAACGTACAAAGAGCACGTGGCCTGCACGGCCTTGCCTAGTTCTGAAGAGGAGCCAGCCAGGCAGCTGGACGGGCCACAGTGTAGCCAATATATGTGTGTGCTCTGGAGTCAGAGCAGCTGGGCTTCGAATCCTGGCTCCTTCCATTGCCGACCCTCTGACTTGGGACAGGTCACCAAACCTTCCTAGGTTTTGGGAAAAACACCCAGACTCAACCTCAGGGCTTGGTGTGAAATGACAGAGTGCCCTGCAGGTAAGAAGCACTCTGCAGATGTGATCTGAGCGTGAAGGAATCTCTCAAGGTCACATCACCGGTAAGGGCAAAGCCAGGACAGAAGTCTCACCTCTTTCAGCCTGGGGTCTCTGTCTCTGGCCAGTACCTGTCCCCCAGCTGTCACTGCTGAAAACCTCCCAGCTGGGCTAATAATGCTCTCCATTCCCACTGGAGTGCCTAGAAACCGCTTTCAAAAAGATTCCATCTTGGGGCGCCTGGGTGGTGCAGTGGGTTAAAGCCTCTGCCTTTGGCTCAGGTCATGGTTCCAAGGTCCTGGGATGGAGCCCAGCATAGGGCTCTCTGCTCAGTAGGGAGCCTGCTTCCCTTCCTCCCTCTCTGCCTGCCTCTCTGCCTACTTATGATCGCTATCTGTCAAATAAATAAATAAAATCTTAAAAACAAAAAGATTCCATCTTGAAATCCTACTTAGGCTATGAATTGGCTTAGTAACTCACTTTTCTCAAAGAGCTCACAGCTCACTTTGGCCTGTCCTCCCCAGGCCTCATGACTTGAATCTGAGTGTTCAACATCAGGTGGGTTGACTGCCCCTGGGAGGTTGAAGCCTGGCTTGATGAACTTCAGGTGTCGTGAGATAGGAGTGGTGGGGAGTCTGGTCCCATCTGAAGCTGGAAGGGGGCGTGCAGGCTGAGTATGATTAGATTTGCTGATGTTTCTAGAAAAGCCAGGCCTCCAGGTTTTTATGTAGAATATCCCAGTTGATAAATCTTGTCAACTCATTTTAAGTTTTATAAAACACAACAGCAAACATGTTTGTGGGCTGTACCTACTCGGAGGCTAACAGGTAACAATCACTGCATACAGAATATGAGAAGCACTATATCATCTTGGGGGTGGGGTGAGGTCGTTGTGACCCATGGCCAGTATTCCCAGGGGTGACAAGGGTAATCCCACTTCAGTTTGGAGATTCTTGTCAAAAGTCAGTGTATTTTGCTTCATTGATCATTTTCTCCCTTCAGTTAAGTAGCAGTCTTTGCTCTTTCTGTAAAGAATCAATTCCTCATCTAAGCACTGGATGCTACTGGATGGAGAACTGGAATGCCTGGAATCTATCTGCAACCCTGTCGTGTGACTCTAGACAAGCCTCAGACCCTCCCCACACACTTGTATGATCAACAAGGGCTGTTCTGCCCTCTTGTCAGAACCTTGCTTAGAGAAGGAGACTCCACTTTTGAAGGCCCAGGCCGGCAGCCTCCTCATGGGTCTGCGTTAGATCCTCCCCACCCCCAGATTTTGAGTTCATCTTTCCATTGCTCATTTGCTCTTCAACACTCAGGAATCCTTGGAACCATGCAACCCTGTGGTGTGGTCCATGCAGGGAGTAAAGGCAAGTCTCAACAAGCATGCCATTTTAGGTCCTTTGAGAAACAGATGTCAGTATGGAGTTAGGTATGCAAAAAAATGTCCTGAGGAGAACACCTGTGAAGGAAGAAGGGTGTGGGAGCCGGGATGGGTGAAGAGAGGCTTCCGGCAACAATGCAGGTCTGCTGCTTGCCAAAGGAGAGGGGACAGGAAGGAGGCTTGGGGAAGAAGAAATGCAGAGTAGACCACAGCTCCAAGAAAGTTGTGGCCAGGCCTGGCCCAGCTCTCGTACCCCTGCTGTGCTCCGGGAGAGCAAGGCCTCAGTGGGAACGCTACAGGCATCCCAAAAATGCCATGGCTGGGAGCTGTCAGCCGGCTGCACCCTCAGAGCGTGCTCTCTCTCAAGGGGCGATCTAAACTATGCTAGCTCATGACTGCCCCAATCAGCCAGATTTCCGTGAGTCCATAAATGTGTGCTATTACTAGTCCTAGGTTTGTGGCCCCATCACTGCACTGGCTGTGACCTTAGGACAAGGGCCTAAACTTCTTCATCTGTTCATTGAAAACAGTGAAAAGATCGCTCCACGGAGTTGCGATGAGAATGAGACTAGAATTCAGGGAAGGTGCTGAACACAGTGCCAAGTACCAGCAAGTGCTGGGTCAATGTTTTTACTCTGGCATGTACTTGGAGATGAAATACAGGCTAGCTGCCCCACCACCTTTGCTTTACTTTGATTTTTAACAGTGTCATCTTCTAAAATGACATTGCTAGGGTGAGTCTGGTCATAGGGTCAAGGGAGACTGCATTTATGGACAACGGTCACTACAGGCAGTCTCCCACCTCCCTGTAAGTCCTACTGTTACACCTATGGTACAGATGAGCAAACAGAGGCCCAGAAAGGTCTTGGGGACCTGGTGGAGCCAGTAACTCAGGTATGATGATCAGAGCGTTGCGTCGTCTCACTCCCCATGGTTCAAGAATGGGCGGAGGATCCAATCAGAACCAAGACGTACGGAGTCGGACCGGGGTAGCTGCATAGATGCTGGGCCCTTTCACTAATGAGTTCGGAGGGTGGTGCCACTGAAGCTGTCTCAGTCTCCACGAAGGCCACAAGCCCTTGGCCTGTCTGGGAATGAGGCCGACGCAGAAATGGTTGGCTGGCTAATCCAACAGCCATCCAAACTCTTTCTCTCGTAACTGTTCTGGAGGAGGCTGCTAACTGTCTGCAGCCCTGTTCCCCTTCTTCACTTAGTAATGCAACTACCCCCTTTCTGGCGGGGCGCATAGCTACGCAGACGCTCAATTTCCCAAGTTCCCTTGCGGCCAGTTGGACCATGTGACTAGATCCTGGCCAATCAGATGTCAGCAGACGGGATGCCGGGAGCGCAACCTCTGTATCCCGGCCTAGGAGGAAGCTCGTTGCGCGTCTCTAATGCTTTCTCCCTGCCCAGAGAGGAAGGACGACCTGGGGTGACAAAGCGGACGCAGCGATGAAGAGGTAGACCCATCCCGCCGTCCTGGCTATGGCTTCTCTCTGACTTAAAAACAAAAACTGCCTCTACCGTAGGGGCCAGAAAAAAAAAAAAAGTCGCCTTCGTAGCCACAGAGGGGCTGTGTGTCCTGCGACACTGACATGTCAAACCAGTCGGAAGCAGAGATGAGCGGGGGGGCCTTGAGGGACGATTTGCTTTTCTAGATAAAAGAATCAAATACAGCTGCTTCTTTCTGCCTTGAATGCCTGTAGCTGGAGCAGCCCTCCTGGGACCCTAAAGACCAGTGGAACTGAAATGAAGAAAGAGGTTGGGTTCTTGATAACATTAATGAGCTGCAGCATAGTCACGCCATTGGCGCCTATTCTGGGCGACTTGTTATATGAGGGAGAAAAAAAAAAAAAAACAAAAAAAACAAAAACCAAACCTATCTTTGTACTTCTTATGTGAGGAAAAGAAACCCCCCTTGGTTGAAGCCTCCTTTAGCTGAATTTTATGTTATTACAGCCCAAAATGCCAAGACATCAGTAGAACTTGGTGTGACAAAGAGCCCAGATGTTGATGATGTCATCTGGCCCCATGAATAGCTTAGCCTGAGACTAGCCCTTGGACTTTTCAGTTAGGAGAGAAAGTGAGTTCTTTTCGTGCTTCAAAAGGTTGGATTTTGCGCTGTTCTGAATGGGAAGACTCCTGTTATCCTTATTTACAAAGAGCCAAGTGGGCTGACTGCATTTTCACCTCCTCTCAGTCCCTCCACCGAATTTTATGGTGGAAAAAATGAGAAAAATTAAAGGAAGGAAGGAAAGCAAGAAGGAAGGAACAGAAAGGAAAGAATAACGGCAGTGAGACGTGAGCTACGTTAACAGAATGTTAGTATGCTTTGTTCAGAATCCTTATTCAGAAACCCAGGTCCTAGTTTTCCTCACTCAGGAGGCTAGTTTCTGGTGCCTGGGACCTGCCCCTGACACCCTGGGAGCCCCCCTGACTGCAGGGGGTAGTGTGACTCAGTTTCCCATCCCAAGCAACCCAGCACCGTATTTCTGGAGCTTTTCATTCTCTTCTTCTTGAGGTATGGTATGGCCCATGCTAATTAATCCATGCCCTCAACCCAGGTGGTTGTTCTCCCAGGTCACCCTTAAATCCACGGGCCATAACCCTCTTGTACTTACTGATCTCCGGGGTTTTCATCACTCCTGAGAATGCACCATTTAGTCCAATCTTGGTGCAGACCAGCATTAATAGGCAATTGCCACAGGGAGACAATACGGGAAGAAAAATGGCTAAAAATATACAGTGAATCACAGAAAATTACATCTCTTAAAACCTACAGTGTATTCTTATTGCCATAGCAACCCTGGGGCTAGTGAAGACAGAGCTGATTTATCGCAGGCTTCCCCCAGCACTCAGTTCTGCCGGAAGCGCCTCCCGCCTGTGGTGCGAGTCCCAAAGACGAGAGGGAGGGGGCCATCACAAGCCCAGTGTTTTCTCTGCTGTCTTTCCATCCCTTCCAGTGGTGAGGCTGTGCCGAGGAGACCTGAGTTCCTTCAGCACAGCCCGTGTTGTCTCCCAGCCCCTTTTCTGAGAGGAAGGTGACAAAATGTCCTGCATTCTGCCCACACTGATGCCAGTGACGGCAGAAGGCTAGCGTTCTGGAGGGGTCAGTGTACATGGGAGCCCTGAGGAAGCTGCAGATGCCAGGCCACCTGGGGTAGGACAAGAGGAGAGGAGTTTCTCTTGCCTTCTTTCTTTTCCTTTCCCCTTCCTCTCTGCCTCCCTCTCTCCCCGACCTCAACTTCCTGACTCTTCTGTATTTCCTATTCTTCAGTGGGTTTACTGTGAAGTGGACTGGCCTCACATCAAGACCAGGACATGGGAGAAGGAATCAAGCCTTGACTTCCAAAATGAGTCTGGTGTATAGAAAGTCGATGAAATGAATGTTCATCAACTGTTCGTTACTCCATTGGAACTCTAAATTGCACTGGCATATAATATGTGTTTCACCGTAATAGTGAAAATGACATTCTTGTGTGCGATTTCAACTTCCAACATTTGGGGAAATATTCTGGACCAGAGTTCTGGCACGTCCTCACTCAAAAATAGCCCTTTCTGGACATGTCAAAAGGACAAAGGAGACCCCTGGAGGGGGCTCCCACTGGCCAAATCTGGAACAATCTGAATTCTAGGGGAAAAAAAATAGTAGTTTAAAATCTACTGAATAAGAACTATAAGTCCATACTGATATAAATAAATGGAGGAAAGCGAAAGCCCTGTCATACAGTAAAATTTCAACTAATAAATATAGAAGAAATAATGGTACTAGAAAGTCATCATTTGGCAACTTTCAGAGCAATAATTGATTCAGGCAAGAACTAGCAATGGATGTGTAGTGGATAACAGTTTGATGAGAAACAGTATATTTATACAATCTCTAAGTATCTCCTCATAAAATACTTATTGATCTCAAAGAAAAAAATAGATGGAGAGTGGAGAGGCTTGGCAGATCCCACCTGAACCAAGTGATCAAAGTTAACGTCACAAGGGACAAATAGGACAGATCAATATCCTGTTTCTCCTGAGGTGATGCGCTAAGAAGGACATAATATCAGCTCTGTGGTATTCTTGCCAAAAATGTACAACCTGAATCTCATTGTGAGGAAACATCAGACAGTCCCAGAATGAGGGACAGTCTATTCCATTTCTTCAATGTCAATGTCAAGAATGACAAAGACTCGAGAACTATCCTAATTGAGCGAACCTGAAGAGACGTGCAATGTGTAATCTGGGATTGGATTTCAGATGAAAAACATTTTTCTCTTTTGATGTAAAGAACATTATTAGGAAAACTGATGAAATTAAAAAGATGTGTAGTTTAGAGAATAGTATTTCATCAATATTATTTTCCTGATTTTGATAATGTATTGAGGTTATGAAAAGGAATGTCCTTTTTTTTTTTGTAAATGCATGCTCAAGTATTTAGAGATAAAGCGGCATCATATCTGCAACTTATCTGCAACTAGTTCAGAAAAAAATATGTATATATAGAGAGAAAATGATAAGCAAATCAGATGAAGAGTACACAGGAATTCTTTGTCCTTTCTGTATTTTTCTGTAAAAAGTACTTTGTGCTTTTTTGTAGCCTGAAATGAGTTCAAAATAAAATGTAAAAAACAGCCCCATCTGCACACTCAAAGTCCTTTTGAGTGAATTTTCCTCCCACTCTTTTCTTTCTTGCACTCTATTACTACACCTTAGTATTTCGGTCCTCACAGCTCCCTGCATAAAACAGGAGAATCCTACTTTAATATGGGAGTATGAAGTGTGTGTGTGTGTGTGTGTGTGTGTGAGAGAGAGAGAGAGAGAGAGAGAGAGAAAGATGCAGCTACTACCTCAGGGTGTCATGAAAAGCCAAATATAAAGCCAAGTTAAAGTATTTGTTCCAACGCCCAAACCAGACCAGTGAATGAAGTCAAAGTTTCCCTCAGGTTTCTGAGGGACGGGAGGGTGTGTTTTCAACAGGATGTACTGACCCAGCCTATTGAGAGCAGAGAGCCAAAGATGTGAGAAAGCCAGGGACTGAGTTCATGTCCTCTTTCTCAACTCCTCCCTCCCTTATCTCTCCCTCCTCCTCTCTCTGTCTCTGTCTCTGCCTCTGCTTGTCTGTCTGTCTGTCTGTCTGTCTCTCTCTCACACACACACACACACACATACACATACCCCTTTCCTCTTTTTTCCTAGAATTTTTCCTGACTCTGGGGCCTTTTCTATCAGAGACAGAACACTTCTGCACAGAAGGAGATACTTTCTTCCTCTGGAACCACAGAATGAAGCTTAGTGGAAATGTTAACTTCAGACTCAGCAGGGGGTGGGGTGAGGTGAGGTGGGGTGTGGGAGGTGGTGTGAGGCCCAGAGCTCCATCCTCCTCCATTTGGTCTGGCCTGCCCAGAGCCTTGTATCCAGGTGCAAGGACCTGGTTACAAGTCCCAAAGTGCTGACCCCATTGCCTACACAATGGTTGCGATTGGAAAAGATTCCAAAGGAAGGTCTGCGGATGCTACATTAAAATTCACTCCCCTCCTTTCTCTAACAGCCGTTTACTTTAATTCACTCGTCTCAATATCATGAACTGCAGCAAAGCAGAAAGTGGTTCTGCTATTTATAAATGATCCTGATCCAATAAAGTAATGTCTTGATTTCTTCCCAATGGTCTAGGAATGATAACAGGAGAAGCCTAAAGTATGATGGTTGGTGGGGTGGGGGAATCAGAATTCTCCTCTCCCATGAAAGCAGCCATCTGTCCCACCCCCAGCTTTTTGAACACAGCCTTATGGTTGGAGGGAGGCACAGGAAACAATGGAGTCATTTTCAGTTCTGAAAAGATGATATTTGTCTCAATTCGCCAGCATCAGCCAGCTCTGTGTTGTACAAATCAAATAGGCACAAAGCTTCAGGCTGGTCTGTGAAAAAGAAACTTTAAATATTAAAGAAATGGCCAGCCCTTATCTGATCAGTTTAGAGTGAAAACAGACTCGAAGTCTGAGCCCTTTTTAAAGAGGCCACAACGTACATTTCTGCAGAGAAGAGAGATCACGGCTGGGCCCAGGGTTCCATCCAGATTATAGCAGAGGATGCAACCTCCTGCCCATCGCATGGCCCATTTGCCTATATACTACCCCACAAATGTCTTTATTTCACAGGTACTATATCCCAAGTAGCAGCATCTTATTTATCAATCCGGAGGGAATCAGGCAACGAATGACTTGATATTAAATTTAGGCCAGCCCAGCACTTGGACAAACCTGTAAGAAGCTAAAGGACTAGCTCCCAGATGGAAATGGATGTGACCAGAAAGTTCCTGTGCCATCCCAGTAATTGTGAAGGGGGAGAGTGAGGGCCCTTCCCTGAGTGAGTGGAGGATCACGCAGACCTCCAGAGCCCAAGGGCGTGAAAGGGATTTTGGTTTTCTCAAGGCCCCCATATGAAAACAAATGATTAACTCTGACATGGGAAATTCACTCTTTTCATGAGGCAACCTATACTTTCTTTTCTATTGACAGTCTGAGGAAGTGTTTGTAATTTCTGCATGAAGGTTCTCACGAAGACCTCAAAGCTCCTATGGTACAGGCTTGGGACAGAATTACTGTATTTAAGGAGTGAGGAATCTGCACAAGGAGAAGGCGGTGTCTTGGGGGAGCCCAGGGGTGGATATACTCCACAGCAGAGGGAGGAGCTGGGACGAAGTGCCCTTCTCAGGCACTGGGGGTGAGGGCCATGGGGCAGGATCAGTGTCACTATTGTCTCCTGGGTCTGAGTTCTGCCAAAGATTCCATTTCCCACATGCAACTGTGGTAATGGTCTCTTTTGGTTTATTGCTCTGAGTTGGAGGAAACTTTTCACACTTGAGGTCACACTTGGGTCTTAATAATTTGCAACCCCATAGTGTTCTGCTTCATTATGCAAGACCCTTGTAACCCTTCTGTCTTCATCGGATTTATTGTAGTAGGTTAAGATGGAAGCAAATTCTTTGCCTCTCCTCCCATCAAGAGGCAGACTCCATTTCCCTTTTCTTTGAATTTAGACTGACCCTGAGACTGGCTTTGATGTACAGAAAGGACTGGAAGTAACACTGTGTATCTTCTAAGGCTGGGTCTTAAAGATTTCAGTAGCTTCCAATTTTGTCTTACTTGGAAATAGTTGCCACGTAAGAGGCCTAGCTACCTTGAGACCTCCACGCTGTGAGGAAGTCCAAACTAACCATGTGGAGAGAGAAAGAGGCCATGCAGAGAAGTGCTGAGGTGTCAGACGTATTTATTATGTTGTTCTCAGACCTAATGCCCACGTGAAGGAAGCCAAGTGCATGACCCCAGCAAATGGCATATAGAACAGAAAAACCACCCAATATGGTCCTGTGTTTTGACCCACAGAAGCATAAGCAAATGTGATGGTTGGTTTAAGCCAGTAAGTTGTGGGGTGATTTTTTCATCTAGTTATTTAACATGAAACATACGTATTCGAATCTAATGGAATTAGTGACCCATCCACCACCACCACCACATAGAAACAACAGGACCCATATGCATAAAGCTTCTTTATGTCACTTAATTAGCAAAACTCCACTGAGTTGGGAGAAGATCCGAGATAAACTTGAGGATCCCAGTTGTGGTCTATACGATGTCAGATGGAAATAATATTTTTCTGAGAGCAATTCTTTTCTCTCATAGTCTTTTTTCTGTACTGTGCCCCATATTTCTTACCCTAACATTCTGGCCATTATACTACCCTGCTGTAATCCCATTATCCA